TGACCACAGGAGTCCAACTGAATTGTGCCCAAAAATTACCAAGCCACTTGACAAAGCTGTTACTGTGTCTCAAAAGGACAAGGAGAGATGCTGATCACATTTGTGTTTAGAGAGATGCTTATCTGAAATGCACAAAGGGTGATATTATCTATCACAATCTCTGCCTATATAGGTTGTATAAGTGCCTAGAAGCAATATGTTTAGGGGAAACAGCCTATAGGGTAACAAAGGCAGCTCTGCCTTCCAGGTCTTCTGCTTTTTCTCCTCTTAAGAGGGAAGAAAGACCAAAAAGCTCATTTCTTCTTGTAGACTACTACAGCACTAAGTACTACTAAAGAACTAAAGTGAAGTACTACTAAAGGACTAAAATACTTGAGCACTGTGGTAACAACATGCCTTTAGTTTTTAGGACTATTTAGCAGTCATTACCAGACTTAGAAGATGTCAGAAAGCCCAAACCTTTCAGAAGGACTGTCTGATCATCAACCCTATTTAGCAGGGTTCAGGAACCCAACTGATCTCCAGGAGAATTTCCTACTACTCATGCATGAAAGTTCAGTTCTTTCATTTTTAATCCCAAACAAGCTCTTCAGTGCAGCATTCTCACAATCTCTGATCTAGAGAGAGAGGTTAAGGGTTAAGGATTTAAAGGTACATTACGAAACCAATTCTGCAGAAATTTATTGACGCCTGAGCTTGACACATGCCTATTTCCTCCTCAAAATCAGCACAGAACCGGTGATTCTGTGACTAACGCTAAGCAGGTATAGATGCTTACAAGAATGGCTCTTAATAGGTTTACAATTATACATTGGCCTCAGTGTATTTTACCAAGGATGCAATTCTTTCTCAAGCAATAGGAGGTTTGCCTCTACAAGGAATGCGGCATCACGCCATGAGCCAGCTACTGCTCATGCATAGACAAGCGCCATAGCCAATTTTTGTGAAACAAGATTAGCATCAGTGTGTTCTCGTGCCTTACAGGAGAAGTAAAGCAGTCACCACTGTGTAAAAAGCCTCTCTCAGTCTAGTCACAGATGAAGGTCTATGAGCTGTGAAACTTAAGCCTTGCAATTCTGGAGTTTAAGACCTGGTTAGAGGTGCTGTGGGTTCTTTACCAAGTTCAAAAAATCACACCTATTCTGCTCATTGAAACAATGCAGTCTTCAAGTTTGCAGCACTTTCTGTCCAGCTTTTGCAAGCTCAGGCTCTAGAGTACGTTAACACTGCCATAACTTGACTGGTACAACTGTGCATTGCAAACAGTCAACAAATCATAGAATCACAGAATAGTTTGGGTTGGAAGGGACCTTCAAAGCTCATCTTAGTCCCACTCCTCTGCAATGAGCAGGGACATGTTCAACTAGATCAGGTTGCCCAGAACCACATCCAGCCTGGCCCTGAATGTCTCCAGGGATGGGGCATCCACCACCTCTCTGGGCAACCTGTGCCAGTGTTTCACCACCCTCATTGTAAAGAACTTCTTCCTCACATCCAGCCTGAACCTCCCCTTCTTTTAGTTTAAAACCACCCCTCATCCTATTGCAACAGGCCCTGCTAAAAAGTCTCTCCCCATCTTTCTTATAGGTCTCTTTTAAGAACTGAAAGGCCACTATAAGGTTTCCCCAGAGTCTTCTTCTCTCCAGGCTGAACAACCCCAACTCTCTCAACCTTGCAGAACCTTCACTGTGGCATATCCTGTGACTGACAACCTTGCCAAAGCAACAGCCATAAACCTGCTCATCACCAGTCATGCTGTCAAGAAGTAAAAGGCAAACTAAACTTCTGCACATGTCATGCTCCCCCTAAAAACATGAGCCAAGTAAACAGCACTGCTCCCTTGAAAAAGCAAACACAGCTTGTCCACCCAGCAAACCTGTACACTACCATGTAGCATCAGCATGACAATAATATCAGCTACCTCTCAACATACTGCTGGTACCAAGAAATGTAGAAGTTGTTGCACCACAGAAACTTACAACTAGTCTAAAATACCTTTAAGTTCACAAGAGAAAAATGGGAGCAGCCAACAGGAAATTGTTTTTTCCTACCCTCTGGACCCCTTTTCCTTTGTGATAATGAGCCCTAGACAACTGTTCTATAAGAAGACTTGTGAGACATCATCAAGTTAGCCTTTCTGATCAACAACCCTATGCAGTACCTTTGCTGTAGCCCAGATAATTCTGGTGAAGAAGTAGGAGTTTGGGGAGGGCAGTGAGAAAGAGGAGGTTTCTGTTACTAGAAAGTTAGGCTCAAATCAGAGATTCCCAGAGTTGCCTTAGAGACATCTCTAACAGGCCAACTGCACACATGGCTTTAGGAAGTACTGCCTCAGTTCACCAAATCCAGAAATGGATCCATAACAGAACCAAGGGGTTCTGACATTACTGGAGATACCAGCACAGTCATTATATATCCTCTAAATACAGTGGAGAGATCCTGAAACAGTCAGGAACTTACCATCAGCAGTCTAACACAATCTCATTCCGTTCCCAGCTTCAGTGCACTCCACAGTGGTTTGCCAAGAAGCCAATTTAAGCTACTTTCCTGCTCTACTACTTCAGCACTACTTTCACACAACAAGCAACCCAGCCTCTACATGCTCATCCCAGGTGCTATAGCTATTAACCTGACTGCCCTACCAGTCTTCAACTACAACAGGCACAATAAGTATTAGCTTTAATGTTGTTTGCCAGCTGCAAATCATGCTTTTGCCCCTTACAGGAAGCATTTGAAGAGTAAGAAGGTAAAAGTATACGTTATCCTTGTGATGACTGCACAAGTGAACCATTTTTTCCTTACAGACTGGAATTTTCAGAAAGAAATATCAGAGTTTCATGATTTATTTTCTGACACAGATTGAAACATTTGAGAAGGGGGAAAAAAAAAGGCTTTCAAACACAAAACCCTGGAAAAGAAGACAAGCCAATCTGCAAAAGAGCAAACCCACCAGCTGAGGTTAGACAGGAGGCTGCATATGACAACAGCTTGCTGTATGTAGGGCAAAAACTGAAGATTAATTTCACTACAACACTCCACAGAAGTGAGCTCTCCTCTGAGGTGAGGAAGTATGCAATGCTCTTCCAACTGGGAAAGACAAGGGCTGGTACAAATAAGGTAAGAATTCCTCTTTAGCAATACATAATCACCAAAAATAAAAAAAGATGACATTTTAGTTTTTATTATTTTATATTTGGCCAGGACTTTTAAAGGAAGGACTTTGAAAGGAAACATCAAACATTCACTTTTCTGTAGGTCTAGAAAGGATTCAGCCTTCCCCCCCGCCCTCACCCCCACCTCCCATAGGGTTTCTATTGGCCCTTCTTAAATTCACACTGCAAATTAGTTGGGAATAGCAGTATTTATACTAGATCAGCAACGTCTGGTTTTTATCCAAATGTTCCACCTAAAGAGGATGCCAGTTCTCATGGATTGGACAGCCCACCCTGCAGCATTCCTGAGAATTGTACAATATAATCTTGAAAGTCAGCAGAGTGGATTATCCACTTTTTTTTCTGGACTTGAACTTGTGACCTTAACAGTAGCACAGCAGAAAGCAAATGTGCTATGCACTTTGCCATAGTAACCTTCCATGTATTTTCTTTTCCAACTTAAATACACACAATTGAAACAGCTACAATTTTGGAAAATTATGTACAAACCCTATATTTTTTTTTTCTTTTTGATTACATATAAATACAAATTAGCTATTCTTCTAAAAAGTGGTTATAATAGGAAATAAATACAAAATAAGAATCTGACCATTATACTTCATGTGCTGGGGTTAACCCCATATAAAATGTACAACTAAAATACATTTAAAAATCTTTAAAGGAATATTTCTCTGATTAAAATATTTGTTTTCCCAACTTTTTTTTCGTAGACATAAATATATTTTCAAAATAGTTGTGTTTTTTTTTCTTTTTCTTTCCATTTCATTACATAAATAAAGTCTTCATTGGGAAATATTAAAGTGTCAGCTTGGGTTTTTTTTTTAACCTTTTGTATTTGTCTAATATATTTTGCTGTGTCAGCGGCACCCACAACCCTCCACAACCATATCTTGATAGTTCTTTAATACAACTTTTTCATTTTCATCAAGGTAGAGCATGGAAATAGCACTCAGTTCTGTCGGCACACAGCAAGCCTTGGGGATTTTGGAATTCACTGAATTGACCAAAGTCTGAACAATGGCATGGTTTGTTGAGTTTAGATGATCTGCCAGTGGAAAAGGACATTCCCCGTGGCAGTAAAAGGCACTATACCCCGGTGGGGCAACAATCCAGTCATTCCACCCCACATCATTGAAGTCCACATATAACGGATGCCTTTTGCAACTGTATTTGTGGCGTTTACGCTGTTTGTGTTTCGCTTGACGCTTTTCTCTTTTATGGAGCGGGTGTCCCTTGCCATCATGCCCAAACGTTACTAATAATGGCCTGAGCTGAGACCAGCTATCTTCATCCTGATGTAAAGACCTGCTAATCCTAACGTGCCTCTTGGAGGCACTGTTCTCTTTGTCCAAGTGAACCACCTCTACCACAAACCCATGATTAGGTTGTCCATGTGCAATCCACCTCAAAACAGCTGGCGTTACATCAAAACTTTCCCATTTACTCGCATTATGATGCACCAACCTGGTGTCCAAAAGTCTTGTGACAGGGTCCTTAGAGGTGGCTGTGGCTGGCTTTATAATTTCATAAATATTAATACGGTGATGGTAGCTGCTGTTGTTCTCAAAGGCTCCGTGCACCTGCTTCCGAAAAATCTGGAGTTCAGCTGAGGTGATAGACTCCTCATTAGGGATGGAAGTTAAATTAAAGAAGAAACGCCGTGCTGTTTTCCCACTTGTTTCTGGCAGTTCTTCCAAAACTTCTAATTTGATTAAACAGGGAAAATAGAAGGAAAGAAAGAAAGAAAAATCAGGAACTGAGACAAGCAACCAAACCCCGCACAGATAGTCTGCTGTTGGCAACTTTCAAATGACAGCTAACGCATGTGACACACAAGACTTCCAGGCAGAAAATGCCTCTTCCCTCATCTTTCTCTATTTACACAAGCGTGTATAGCATGGAATTAAGGGTGCTTCACTCACTGTTAAGCATTTTGATTGCACACTGGTGCCCTTTGCATTCCAGGTGGTTATAAATGAGTGGCAAGAACCATGCAGCATTACACTGGAATTCAAGGACACCAGTGAGAAAACTCAAGCCTGACAGTGTGATCTGATGAGAATCGTTACAACTGGTTGAGGACTTAGGGCAACTGTTGCATTTCTGACTTTTTCAGTAATAGGGCTCTAATGTCAACCCCTTAAACTCCACCCTAAAAGATACCACTCCACAGTTTAGGTGACTTATAAATATTAACTTACAGACGTTTGTATCTTCATTAGAAACAGTGAACTTAACATCTGTAACAGCGCTTTATGAAGCACATCCTAGGATGTACCCAAACGGGCCATGGAGAATGGCAGGAGGGTTCAACTGCTGAAAAGGGGTGGATGGTGAAGGGATAATGAAATAAAGTTGCTTCTGAACAACAGGTTTTGCAAAACCACACCAAAAAATAAATTTGAAAAGCCACTAAACCCCAGGCCGTTCTCACCTTTGAGTCAACAAGTAACTGAACGGAGCTTCAGAGGGAGTAAAATGTATCTAGGGTTGCTAAAAAGTATGCTGCTGCTACAGACACTGAAGAAATTACAAGTATTTGCCAAAACAAATCTCTCTCAAATCAATTTTGGTTTCTATTTTGGGTGCTAAGCATCCTGGAGAAACACTCACTTTTGAAGGGGAAGCCCTAACTGCTGTTAGCAGCTCTTTGTCACATAACCATTCCCTGTTGAATCCTATGCAACTTCTGGATAGGGTAAGGCTCAGCCTTCCCGCTTTCCAGGAGCGGATCAGTATTTGTAAACATGCAGATGTTTTTAGTGGTCACAAGACAAACTTCTGCTTCAAGAAGCCACTAACAGAGGGAGAACTCAGTGAAAAACTGGAATCATACTGATCTTCTGGTAAATTTTGTGACAATTCTAGAACAGCCTTTATGCCAAAAACTTTGCTGTAACAATGTGACTGCTTCAAACTACAGATTTTTGTATTTGCCTAGAAATTATAAACTTTGCCCTCCGAGTTCCTCTCTTGCTCAGCCCCTTGCCTACCACACTAATGTGAGTGACCCACACACTGGCTTTTCCCCATTCATTGCTATGTGTTTACTTTCCACCTAGGGAAACGCAGACGATGAGAAGTTACATTTCATCATCCATCTCCTTCCTCACGATAACGCTTTCCACTAAACGGCACATCCACTTCTCCGAGACCACCTCTTTTATCCGTCAGAAACACTGAATATTAACCGATTCCTTTTCTCAACACAGTTTCACTTTAGAAGCATGGGGAAAGCTGCGTTTTCATTACTTCTACAGCGGGGCCACTGCACGCCAGCACCGGAGACAAGCAGCCAGGAACAATTACAACCTGGGGAAACGTTTCCCAAAGAGCACGCGAGTGACACGCGCCCCACCGGCTCCACGGGCCTACCCGTGCCGTGGCCAATGCTGCAGCCCCTGTTTCAGCTCCGTGAGCTGGGAAACGCACCCAAGCTGCTCTGAGGGTCCGTGGCCTCGGTGCGCTGCAGGCCAGGAGGGACAGGGATGAAGCTGGTCGCCCCGCTCCGCATTGGGCTGGGTTATCTGCAGGTGAGAGTCGGAACCTGGCCACAGGGCTTCTACCAGCCTGGGCGCTGCTGGCTGGGGGAGGAATAGACTGGGCCCGGGGTAAAAGGCTCCTCGACGGCAGCGGGGCGAGGGAGGGCGCGACTGATCGTTGCATTGATCTCTCACGGGGATTAGATAAGGATTAGAAACCTCCGCGGCTCGGCCGCGCCTCAGGGAGACTT